ACGCAGCGGTTTCAAACAACCTATAAACGGGTAAGCAACTTGTCCTAGTTTGGGATGGTCACTATGGATCCGAATATGCACTAGGTCGAATGGTCAAAAAGGGTGCCCCGGTAAAACCGAGGTTTGTGTTCCCATACTGGCAGAGCCCACAACCGGTCAGCCTTATGGTCATGCCTTGACAAGACAAGCCTCCGACAAACCGTTCAGGAATAGCAGATGGCAAACACGGTGTCCTAGGCGCACCAATGCAAATGCAATGCAAAGAAACACATAAATGTAAACAAAACAAGATATCATGAGTTCGAGTCAAGTTCTCTAATTCCCCAGCAGAGTCGCCAGAAACTGTAGACGTCACCGAACGCCCCGGGAGGGACGAGCTCCCCCGTTCCGTTCGATATTGGGCTCACTACAGTTCAGGACTCTCAAATTGTCACGGTTCGTAATCTGAACCAAAGAGTACAAATCTGGCAAATCGTTTTGAGAAAACAGATTTTGAAAGAAGTGCCAAACATGGACTGCTTTGCCAGATACAGAGTCGCCACCTAAATGTTTTATTTTGGGAAAATTTAGGAAACCCTGACTCGTTTGCCTAAGGCCACGTGTCCGTCATCACCAAAGTTACCTCGGCTCGGGAACTTGGGTACGATTGGGGAAGGTCACTTCGTGAGCACCCCCGCTCGCCCGATCAAAAGATCTGGCCTCTTACTAACCATGATATCAAGTTTTGAAAATATTGGTGTGTTCTTATTCCGGTTATTAGCCTAGATTTACTATGTGATGCGCACAACATACAAGTATAGACTGGATCGCCTGAATTGAAACAAAACATTTCATGTTTGTTTATTTGAAAATGGTTTGATGGTGCTACCCGCAAGTAGGCTAAGACGTGGATTTGCCACCCTCGGGGGGGGCTTAGAAAACATGATTTTGCCACTATCTAGTGGGCTTAAAACACACATTTGATGAATTGTTCCAATTCAAATAACCCAACCTTCACCCACAGCATTCAGACAGTTATATCACATAAGCATATAGCCTCATGGTAAGCATGCTATTTCATGGCAGTCACTCACACGCATGCAAGGATGCTAAAGCATAAAACTTACCGAGTACTTCCAAGCCAAAACAGAAGCTTATTTAGAAATCCAGCATATCCTAATTATACGGAAATGCCTAATGCAACACATGCAAAAATGCAACTATAGCAGGCTCGGCTATTCTAAACATGGCATATGGAATGCGGCAACTAACATGTATTCAATTTGGAATTGAAAGTACAATGCAGTTAGTATGATGCGCCGAGCCCAGTGCATGCAAGACAGATGAATGAATGCAAACATGCTATCATACTGTATGCTAATTGAAACATGCCCTAATCTAACCATCATAAGCGGGTAAATAAAAGGGAGAAAGACGTGGGGTTGGAAGACATACATCACACAAATGCACACTTATTACAGTTGTGCCCTCGCTCGGAGGGTCCAAATAAATAATACAGTCCCAAATGAATAAATAATACAGTCCCGAATAAATACAAAATCCTAATTAATTTACAAATTAAACTAAGAAAGCTGTAAACTAGCATGTAAGCTAGGGACTGCCTCGACTCCGCTCCGGATGATGAATGATGCATGCTCGGGTTGCTTGGCACGGAAATCCACTGCGATGCCCCAATTAGCCTCTGTTTGCGATTGATGTCGGAATGCTGTGCAAAGCTTTTGAAAGGCTACTGATTCTTGATTTGCTGCAATAGAGAGCAGGAAAAGGGCATGGCAATGTATTTTCACAAATGTATGCATGCCTCGATCCTCGTGCCACCAATCACGCATCTCGATGCATGATGGTCGGGGAGTCGAATTGCACGACTCAATATGAAATGAATTCACATATAAACACAACAAAACCTAAACTCCATCATGGATAATCCGGAGTGTCGGTGACTGGGAATTGAGACACGTCGGAGCCCAAAAATGTAAGCAAGTATAGCTTAGATTGTATGCAAAAATAGAGCCAAGAAGAGGAGAAAGAGACTTACCCTTGAAGACTAATCTTTGACAGTCTTTTGGACCAAGTTTGGTGGCTCTTGACCTCTGGAAATGACCTTGAAGCTGCTGGAATGGAGGGTGGAGGCCTTGTGCTAAGGGGTGTAGGGTAAATGGTGTAGGACTTGAGAGGTTTTGGTGCTTGGAAGAGAAGGAGAGGGAGGATCAATGCAAGAGGCTTAGGGCAAATTTTTGTAACCCTCAGATGGGAGCTGGAGCTGCTGTTATATAGGCAAAAGAGAGGGAGAAAAGGGAGGGAAAATGGGGGGGGAAAGAATTCAAGTTTCCCTCCAAAAGTGCAGCCCCCCGGATACAAAATCTGGGGGGAAACAGAATGTATATCTGTAATGTACCAGAAGAGGGGATCATGGCCGGCCGGTTATTAAAGTTGCAGGTGGCCGGCCGGCTCTCCCCATGGTCGGCCGGCCAAGGGTCAAAAGGGTCAATCAAGATTAGTGGCCGGCCACGCCAGATTGATGGCCTCCTATGTGTGCACAACACAACCATGTGGTCAAAAACTGGAGAAAGTGAACCAGGAGAGAGAAAAGGCCACTTTTAGGAGGGGTTCAAAAGGGGCAAACACAATTACTGGCCGGCCATGTGATATTGGTGGCCTCCCAGGTGTGTACAACACAAATATGTGGTTTGGGGCAAGAAAAAGTGACCTTAGGGTGGTCAACATTGGCTTTCAAGTGAGAAAAATGGGCGACGGAGGGCGATGGAGGAATAAAACTGGTTGTCAGAACAATTACTGGCCTCCCACCCTTCTACGACCTTCCTAACAATGGAACAGAGGTCTCTGCCAAAAATGAACCCAAACCGATGCAAAATGAAGGTTCGGGGGCCGAAGCGCGCAGTTCGAGGCCCCGAATACTGACTGTTAGGCACCGGGAGTGATGTTCGAGCACGAAGTTGGTCTTTCAAGCCATAGTGTCCCTCAAAAGGGAACAAATAAGATGCATGCCAAAAACCGGAGCAAACGGAGGTGGTTAAGCGGTCCCGAACCGAGGCACACGGCCAACGGCCCCGAAAAACTAGAAACTGGACTCCAAATGGGCAAAATGGCCTACGACCACGAAACGTAGCCTACGGCCACTGAGAGATGATCTACGAGACCTCTCTCTCCCTTCGGGAAGAGAAAATAGAGAAAACAGAGCCTGGTTCGCAAACCGAGGCAAAGCATGAAAGAGTCCGAAAGTCTGGAGGCAAGGCTCACAGCCGAGACTCTGAAACCTCAGAACGAGCACAATATGCAACATCACCAAGCGCTCAATCGGTGACGTCTGAGTCTTAAGGTTGGTCAAAAATGGGGTGTCTACAATGTACCGTTGTGTCCATGCCCTACACTTCACCATGTTGGCATTTTCATTGTGTCTCTTGTTCGTGTTTATGCTACTCAAGTTATTGATACAACAAGAAGAACAAAGCCATGAATCTCAGCCACTCGGGCTTAGCTAAATGACTGCTGTAAATCATAAAGTGCATTTATTATGAATCCCCATAACATAGTAGGTGTTGACTGTTCTCACTGTGCTTAATTAATAATGATGTCATATATAACTGATAAATGAAAAGAACACATAAAAGTTTCTCTAGAACTTGTTAACAAATTCCTGCTTTGGCATCAGCATAAACTCTGTTGAGCCATAGTTTTTCACAGAAATATTTAAAATAAAAGCCGAAAATAGAAATAAAACTCACTGGATTATCAGTAACTTGCTTCTCTTGCTGAAGCTCAGCCTTTTCCGCCATTCATACAATGCATGTATTAACACCAGTAATATTATCATCAGGTGATGTTCTGCCTCTGTGTGCTTCAAGATCAATAGCAGCAACACTCCTGATAGAAGATTGAGAACCTTTTCTTGTTAGCCTTTCAATGTCGGCACCATAGTTCAATTCATAAAGCCTTCTTCGGATATCCTCAGGTCTTCCACTGAATTCTTTCTAGAACCCATTTGGTGGTGTGTGCTCATTATCATTATTTTCCACCTTCCCAAACCATGGTGAATCCTGCTAGTCATCAGGCTTGCTTTATAGCTTCTACTTTTAGTTAACTTCAAGCTTTGAGAGCCAGACATGTACTCTGTTAACGGCCATGGAGATGGTTTTTCATGAGAATGAGCAACGAAATGGGGGATGTAACTTAACAAACTATCTTCCTTTAGTGGCGGTGACACGAACTCCTGATCTGTGATCTGTTGGATCTCTGCTCCTAGCCACCATCGATTCAGAGATTTCAGTGTTTTGTTCAGGAGATGATGATCTATTCGATTCTTCTGCCTCTATGCATCGAACTTCCCTGCATAAATCCTCCAAAGTTCCATTCATCATGTTTGTTTTCAGTTTTTTGAAAACACTTTTCGGAAAATTCTACTTTCTTGTTTTTCATATTTTTTTGTTTTTACTAAATTTTTTTAATATTTTAAGAATTTTTTTTAATTTTTAGACACACCTAACACAAATACACTTAAAAAGTATAATTTTTGTAAAAAAAATCTTTTAAAAAAAATCACTAAATACCAAAAAAACAAAAAAAAAATCAGTATATTTTTCGTATTTTTGTGTATTTATTAATTTTTAAAAATATTTTTTTCACAAATATTTTAATTTTTTGATACATCTAAATAAGGTGCATCTAAAAAAGTAAAAAAAAAATGCTTAAAATTTTAAAAATATTCACTAAAAAAAAAACACGAAAAACAAAAAACTCTGTTTTAAAAAAACTAAATTTAGAAAACTAAAACCAAACACACTGATTTGGTTTTTTCTTCAATCATGTCCCAACTCTGTCCAGAATTGCTTCGGATAAACATAGAAGCACCAACCAACAGCTGTGGAGAAGTATCATTTGGCACAAAGTTCTCTTCAAATTCAGGAAGAATTTGTATGTAGTGATCATCAGAGCTTCTCCCACTATGTCCATAAGAATAAAGATATCTGTTGACTGATCTAATTAACACCAATGTCCAAGGAGTGAGGACTTGCCAAAGGGGATGTATCTGGTACTGGATTTTCACATTCAGGTGACTTCCGAACTTGCAAGTGTGGGTAGTTATTAAAACCTACCTGGAGAAGTACAAAAGGAAAAAATAAATAAACTCAACTAAACAAGGCACACCTAGATGGAATGGATGCTTCAGTATAACAATTTAACTATAGTTACCCGTGTCATTGAATGTTCCTCATCCCCAACGAGTCGTAGCAAATCCTGAACCTGAGATTTAGCTAAGTCTCGTTGAACAGTCAGATCTATCATCTCCTTCTCCAGCTACACAAGTAGAAAAAGTATATAAATTAAAAGATAAAGGCATTCAACGCATGAGCCCATAAGACAAATGCTGCTTCTTGAATGGATGGAAAAATTTGCAGCATGTTCGTGAATCATACTTCAAATGTTAGTAGCTCAAGGTGCACTCTTAACTGTACCCAAAAATGTCATTTGAGATTGAACTTTTTAAGCCTACAGCTATCAAAAAGTCAAATAAGTGGACATTAGAAGGATTTCCATATGTAATGCCATGGTTCTTTGGACTTTTTAAGCCTACTTCTTCCTTCTGCAATGATCTTCTTGTGTTTTTTTATCAAATCAAGACACATTAGCAAAGTACATAATTTAACAATTTGAGTTAAAACTGAAGTTAAATGACATTAAAACCATACATCCTAAAACAACATAGTTTTGCTTAACTTTAAACAGAGGCCATTGGATTACTACAAGAAGTCCAGAATTCGTTGTAGAGAACCCTGACCTAGTCAACAATGGTAACCCAAATTAATTACCATTTTCTGTTAGGTTAAGTTGTTAAAGATATCCCTTACAGTGAAGTAAAAGTCAAATGAAGTATCTAAACCGCATCCTTGCAATGTTATTAGACTAAACGGCTCATCAACAAATCTCATATTTTCAAATTGGTATTGTTCTTGAGGTGGGATTTTGTTGACATTTCAACTGGTCTCTATTGTTTAATCTAAGAGTTACAAAAACATTCTGCTTTTAGATCACAAAAGTCCTTCTAAAAATCCAACCAAAATTGAAATGACTTGTCAAAGGATTAGAAGCAAGACAACGAATAAAGATTAGAAATGAGTAAATAGACCAAGAATATTCTTTTTGCATGTTCCGTGCAGAACGAGAAATATACGAAAAGCTTAATATGACAAACAGACAGTGAAATGAATGGAAGTTATGCAACCTAAAAAGAAAAATGGAATTAATTAAAATGATGGAGAAGGATGCACACAGAAATAAGGGTTTAACAACAAAGATTACACTTATGGTTTGCCAAACTAACTCACTCTAGTGGAGTGTGATCATGTGACATAATTAGGGAAAATTTCACTCTACCCTCCAATGTGGTTTAACCTATGTGCGGATTACCCCTATCATTTGGAAATAACCACATAATCCCCTTGTAGTTTGTGGACTGAAGTGCACCATCAGGCATTATGTCCAAGTAACAAGTGTGAAACACATGCCAGAACATAAAGGGGTTATGCCTCATTTCTAAATGTCAGAGGGATAAATTGCACATGGACTAAAACAAAGACGGTTAAAGTAAATTGTCTCCCAAAAAAATGACAAAAATGTTTGTGGTTTGCATGGTCAAGTTACTTATGTGCAAGGGTTTTCTAGTCCACAAACTAGAGGGGGTTATGTGCTTATTTCCAAATGACAATGATTATGTGCACATAGGCCAAACCACAAGGGGGGAAGTGAAATTTTTTCTATAATTTAATTTAAGATTCAGAAGTACCACTTGTGGTTTTAAAGAGTCTGGAAATTTATATTCCTCATGCAACGATTACGCAGAAATTTATGAACCGTTCAATATTATTATTGAAGAGGTATTGCAATTTGATAATGAAAGCCCAATCATTACCTTTTCAATCTGAAGGCCTTCTTTCCCAGCAATGCCGAATAATGTGACGCAACAAAGGTGGCCCTTGACTTCTCAGTTCACTCTCCAACCTACTAATTCTCTTGCAGATGCTTTACTAACTGCTTTATCTAATATACTACATTAACTGAGCGTTAGTTCTACTTCTTGCACAGCTGCAACAATAGCGTATTTCTTGATTGCTCAACATGACTTCTCGCGGCGCCCATGGTAACAGATGATGGCACGTTTCTAGCATTGTCTCCCAACAGTGATTGCAATATGCAGTTAGTTAGAATCTCTGAAAGAGACATGCCCATTTCATCCCTTGCTGCACCCAATGAAAGGACAACACAAATATAACAAAACTTGCAATTCAACAAATGGTAATGTTCAGGATGAAACATCATACAATCAAACCCAAAAAAAAAAAAAAAAAAACCAGACAAGAAAAAGAAAAGGCAGGTAAAAGGATTAAAGGCACAAAATTCCTGAGAATTTAACCATTATGTTGATTTAAAAAGACCACAACAACAAATCTTTGATGTAATAAGATTATCATGATTACCCAAAGGAGTGTACTAGCCAAAAGTGATGATAGTAATCTGAGAGAATGTAGAGTAAAGCAGCACGACCAAGTGATTAGACGTATGATCCTGACAACTGCATTGTCATAATAAAATAAACAACTAACCATTACTAGCACCTGGTTGATATAAGTGATTACCAGTCAACGAATTTGAAAATCATGGCCTAAATGATGACGGTCAGAATCAAGTTTGAGTTAATCTGATGAAGATAATTTAAGTAGTCCTTGATTTTTTGCTTTAAAACAATTCATTTGACTCTTGCTCCTATTAAGACAATCAACAGGAAAAAAAAGAGCCAAAAGTCCATGGTTCAGTGAAAGGAGTGTTCAGCTTTGTTTCAATACTCTTTGTTGTTCAAGCCAAGCAGTAAGGCAACTCATAGTTTTCACAACATAGATGAATGCAATCCTTGACAACTAGATAATGATTTTTCCTATGTACCATTGGATTGAATTATCGTCTCTTTACCCCTTATTGTTACAGAGGGAGGTTTGGACTTTCACAATCCTTCCATGTGCCAGCTTTGAGCATTTTGTTGTGGAGAAAACGTCAATGTAATATGTGACTGTGGCCAAATTTCTTAATAGCTAAATATTGTCATGGAATTCATCCTCATTCTTGCACTCCCCATACATTTTCATTCTCATATTTGGAGGAGGCTTTTTAGAAGCTAAACCTTTCACAGAAGATACCACATACCTTCTTAATATATGTTGTGTATACTTCTTCAGGATAGTTGGCTCAGAGATGGTGCTAGTATTGACAACAAAAGTTCATAATTTACCATGCGTTGAACCACAGTAAACGATCATGAATGATGGAACTTAAATTTAGTGGAACATCTCCTATCTTCTAAAGACTTGATTATTTTGAGTTGGCCCAAATGATGGGCATTCTTAATTGACTCTACTTATGAGGGTATTTATTCTCAAGGTTCCACCACATAGTACATTTTGTAACTAATTGTGGAAGGAAATTCCTATTAAAATATATTCATGTGGAAATTATTTCATTACATCATTGCATTTAACTTGGTGGTTGCCAAATGTTGGAGTGTCAGCCTCTAAATGTAATTGTGGATTGGACAGGACATTGGAGTTTATGGAGCATTGGTATCCTACTGACAATCTTGCTTCACAGATTGTGATGCACTCAGTGAACTTACTTGGTCTTCATTTTTCCCATCATATTGATATTATTCATCAAATTAGTTTCTGCTTGTCTAAATGCTCTGAATCTGATCATTAGCCCATTGAACTCATCAAGGTGTCACTAACGTTTTCACATTTGGTGCGAAAATTCGAAAAGCATGAAACAAATAAATAACTCAAAACTGGATTGCATATACTTTACTGGTTTTTATTATTTGCAGGCCTTCTACAGATTTTGATAATATTGCTTTTGTTTAGGGGTGCAACTTGGGCAGGTTCAGTCAAGTTGAGAGATTGTTCAGGCCAAACCCAAGTTGTGTTGAGAGTTGCCCAAACCAGCCCAAACCCAACCTCCAACCCGATCTTGTCTGCCCAAGCCTGGCCCGAGCTCAATAAATTGAACTTGGCTAAGCCCAAATTGCCCACAAATTTATAATAGAATAGCATAGATGTAAATTTTATTGAAAAAGCCAAATGGTCAAAGTGTAGTATAAAATACCATTGTGCTATTTCTTGTGCTAAGTTTTGGACAGGAAATAGCATTATGCTATTTTAGAATTATGGTCAAAGTGAGTGTTTTCGCTGAACTGTGCTAGTTTAGCAATGCCACACCTTAAAACTTCACCTCTGGAGCTCTAAAGCTCTGTCACAGCTTTCTAAATCTGAAGGATCGGATAATCAAGTGTAGAATTCAATTCTCATCCATATAGGCTATAGCACCAGTAACTTTTCAAGCAATGACTTCAAGTTAGTTTCATTATCAACATGATTAAAAAAATTGAGAAACTAGCTAACCTCAGCTTGCGGATAACAGTTCCCAGGGTCAGCAAATTACGATTTATGTGGCAACCCGCTTTTAGCCTGGTGCCAGCTGATAATGATTGAGATGTACGCTCACTTCCCCCAAGATCAACAAAATTATTCATAGAATGTATCAAAAAAATATTAATATAGCTCAACATGGTATATATTAACATCTTAATAACCATCCAAATTAATCTAACAAACACTTGACGATCCATTCCACAACAGTTGTAAGAGTGCTTAAGTTGTCCTTGCCTAAAAATTGCCAAGCAGAACTTTCAATTGTCTGCAAAAACCCATTAGTCAATTGAATGGAAAGAACAATAAGCTATGTTTCGAACAATCATTCAAGAAAACAACATTCCTACCAATCTGATTATTTGATGAGATCTGGAGCTTGTTTCATTCAAGGCAGTTTGCCCTAATTTGTCTTTGAGCTTCATGAATGCACCAAGACATTTAAATATGCAGTCACGATCATCTAGTAAAAGTCAGATGACTAAAGAATATCTTACCGTCGCAGATGGAGAGGAGTTCCATTACATGATTCCAGTCCCTGGGAGGTTCCTCTGTGAGTTTCTCAATAACTGTCCCTCTGTGTGAAATAGCTAAGAATTAAGCATAATGGAAAAATATCAAATACTAATTATTTAGTCGACCAAGAAAGTAATTGACCTCGGGATCATCTAGAAGTCTAAGTGGAGTACTATCTGTGCTGAGGAGGTCCCTGACAGATTCATTGTGAATCTCCATAGCAGAGAACTTCAAAAGAAGTTCTCTTTCATTGTGCTGCAAATAAAACAAACATGTAAGCAACAAACAGGTGAAGCCTAAGAAGCATAAGCACTGACATGCAACATGACACAAATACACGCTGGCGCTAAAAATTTTCAAAAAAGCAAGACAACACATGTGTGACACATGCAAAATATATAGTTTTATATGTCATTTATTATATATATGAATATTTTATCAAAAATAATAATTAAAAAAATGCAACATAACATTAATTCCTAAAGTTTTGCTCATAGGCAGAAAACTATTTTGTTTTTCTTTTAAACTTATAATGTGTTTCATCTATGTCTAAGAGGTGGCTATGTGTGTCCTTCAAATATCCAATGCATGTCAGGTCCAACACGCATTGGGGAGTATCAAATGAGTGTTAGTGTCCGACATGGACATGCCATCTTCTTAGAAGTATTGGTGCTTCTTAGGAGAAAGCCCAAGGAACAGAGTACTATAATAGAATGCAGAAACATCAAGTAGTGAGAAACAATGAATATTAGTAGTTTCTTAATTACCTTCTCTATTATATAATAATAAATATCTGCTACGGCATACTCAGTAATTCCCATCATCGTGAATGTCTTCCCACTGCTTGTTTGTCCGTATGCAAAAACAGTAGCTGAAATTTATGCCCATTATTTGACATAAAGAAAATTGTCAATGGAATTCAAGTGAAATTCTCAATATCAGGAAAAATGGAGAAGCAAAGAGAAATAATACTCACAGTTAATACCACTGACAACTGAAAGAGCAACGTCCTTGGCTTCTTTCTCATACACCTCCTTTGTGGAGCAGTCACTCCTAAATACTCTATCTAACAGTGAAAAAAAGAAAAAGAAAGATCAACACGAGTATCCAAGCCATGACACCAATGCTGATATGAAATTGTAACAATAATTCTTCGTAAGTAGCATTCAAACTTAGGTTTCTCAAATCTAACATACTGAACCATATGCAAAGCTTTACGTTTAACAAGAAACTTCACAACTTAACTGTGGCAATAGATTCTGTAAAATTGTTACCCAAACAGACCTGAATTTGAAGGCCTTCAACCCTTTTATAGTTCTTTTATTCAAAATTAAACAAATAGTGTATGGACACACTATATTCTCAAACTACAGTAAAACATGATTAGCAATCATACTTCTTAAAAAATGCGATTGTTAATCACGTTTTTTACTTAACAGATACCACTATCTGAACTACCTTTTCACATTATATAAAAAGTGTGGTTAGTAATATTTATTTTTTGGGTGTGAGTTACTAACCATGTTCTAACATAATTTGGGAATAAAGTCTGTTCTACACTATTAATTTAATTTTAAATAAATAAATACTAATGTAAAAGAATTAAAGACCCTAAATTTGAACCCTCCTGGAAGGAATAGTTTTACGAGGAAAACTCCAATAGAATCGGCTAAATGAAGAAAGAACAAAAATGGTCTCCTATTTTCAGACATTTCAGATTTGAATCATCAACCACAGCAAATGTTGCAGATTTTAGCTCAAATAACGGCTCAAATTCTCTCCCACAAAAAAAAAAAAAAATTACCCACATTGTTCAACACAAACTTCTAGTCTTGGATCTTAATTTGGATAGAGAATTATGAAGCAAAGAGAAAATAGAATGAAAATGTAAAAAATAAAATAAATTAATTTATACTTCATTCATTCACATTTCACCATCATTTCC